TCACCTTCAACTCATTTCTCTCTGTGCCTTCCCAGAACCACTGTTAGCATGCACATGTACACTATCATTTTATTTGTTAAGCTATCTTACTGTTTTTTTAAGTTTTTTTAAATTAATTTATTCTCTCATATATTACATCCTGATCATAGTTTCTTCTCCCTCTTCCCCTCCCTCTCCGCTCCTCTATCCCCTTCAGAAAAGGGTAGCCCTCCCAGAGATACCAACCAAACATGACATATCAAGTTGCCACAAGGGCTGCTCCTCATATTAAGCCTGGATAAGGCAACCCAGCAAGAAGAAAAGGTTCCCAAAAGCAGGCAAAAGAGTCAGAAACCACCATCCACGCCTGCTCCCTCTGTTAGGAGTCCCACACAAACACCAACTTACACAGCTATAAAATACATTCATGAGAGCCTAGGCTAGACACATGCAGGCTCACTGATTATCAGTTCTGTCCCAGTGAGCCCCTGTGAGCCCAAGTTAGTTGATTCTGTGGGTTTTCTTGTTGGTGTTTCTAACTCTTTCAATCTACAGGCGCAGAGAGGCTAAGTAGTAACAAGGAGGGCTTAACTGGGGTGGGGGGAGAGATTCATGAATCTCTGTGGGAAGAGGAAATAGAATAGATATTGCAGTGGTCTGGGGATGGGATTAGGACTAAGACAGGAGAGATCACATTGGGGAGGATAAGAGGGAAAGAGTCCTGGGCAAGACAGCTGGAATTGTGGCCAATTCAGGGCCAAGCTAGAAACATAGTGCAATGGAATGTCCCAGGAATCTATTAGGGCGAACCTGCTGAGACTCCTAGCAGTGGGGATACTGAGCCTGAACTGGCCATTTCCTGTAATCAGGCAAGACTTCCAGTGGAGGGACTGGGACACCAATTCAGCCAGAAAACCTTCAATGTTCAATTTGTCCTCCAAGCCAGATGTGCTGGGGTAAAGGTGACACAGATATTGTGAGAGTGGCCAATCAATGACTGATCCAGCTTGAGACCCGTGTCATGAGAGGGAGCCCACCTCTGACACTGCCTAGAGGACCAGACACCAGAGGCCAGATGGCTCAAAGACCTAGAATAGAACCAGACACACCTGACAAAACAAAGGTAACTTAAATGACTCCTAATGACACTCTGCTCTACTTATAGGCAAGAGCATGGCATAATCACTATCAGAGAGGCTCCATCCAGCAACAGATGGAAACAGATGCAGAGACACACAGCCAAACACTAGGTGGACCTCAGTGGATCCTGCAGGAGAGGAAGGGTTGTAGGAACCCTCTTCCTTAAAATGAGGCTTTTCCCACGTGGTCTTTGTTCCTCCAGACCTCTATTTGTTGCTTTATGGAAATGTCTATTTCCAGCACAGCTCTTCAGAGAGGCACTGGGTTCTTTCTCCTGCACCTCAAAGTTCTCCCAGCCCCCCGCCCATGCTGTCATCTTGATGCCTCTCTGTACAGTCAGGTCTTGCTGGGGGCTCCTCATGAGGGTGGTGCTGTGTACTGATTGGGTAGCTACAGTCTGACTTCCCTCTACTCTGTCTTTACTTCCTTTGAGTCTGGTGTTGCTGCTTCATGCTCCGCCCCTTTCCCAAGGAAAGATCCTAGCAATTGTATTTGGAGTCTGTACTAAACTCTTACCATTATCCAGGTATAGTCACAATAGAACATGCAGGAGTAGGAGTGATGACTTGAACCATAGCTTTGGAGATGTGGTTACTTCATCTCCCTACAGACATCAGTGATGGGATTTCAGAATACTGAAATCCATGAAGCCAGGTGATGACATTGCGGGCCGAAACCAAGGCATTAAGTGATGTTTCTTGCTCAGCTCCTTCACAGTGAACAGAGTGTCAACTATTTGGAAAAACTGTCTTGAGGTACTCCTGTCACTTCGATTAAACCACAGCAGGCTTTCTGAGTGTCCTTGTCCCTGGAGAAGCCCATTTACAGCATTTCGAGAGAAGTTTGCATCCATGATGATTAGAATGATGTTTTAGGTGTATTATGTGCAGAGGTGTTTTTCTTTGTGTATGCGTGCAAATATATGTGCACATATATTTGTGTATATATGTGTGTGTATATGTGCACATGTGTGTATATGTGCACATGTATGTATGTGCATATGTGTGTATATGCATGTATAGGGCAGAGTTTGATGTCTTCCCAAATCACATTTCATTTTGATTTTTGAGACTGACTGTCCAGCAAGCCCCAACTGTGGGACTGTGGGAACGCTGCAGTACAACCAGATTGTAATGGGCACTGGGGCTTGAACTTCTCAGTCTTCTACCACAGACACTTTACCATTAAGCCACCTCTCACTGCCTGGAGTCATTGCTCCACTGTTAGTCGACCCAGTAGGAAGGATTGGAGGTCACTGTCCAGCACAAGGTACAGCTTTCCCTAGATGGTAGTATTGTTCAACCCCTTCACCTTTCTGTTTAACTCCTCTTCTCCCTTCTTCCCCTCCCTTCCCTCCCCCTTCATTTCTTCCCGTATTTTCCTACTATATCTTCTTGTTGTTTGAATCTCCCTTTCCCCCCTCCGTTTGGCTTAAATTAGCTCTAAGCATGTCTTCCCAAGGATCTGCCTTTGATGAACTTAGCACCAGAAATGGTGCTAACCTGATGCCCAGGGCCTTCACAGGAGGCCTGGGTCCTTATGGGCTCCTCCTCATGGGCTCCTTATGGGTGGAGCTGTTCACACCTCAGAGCCTGCAGGTGAGCAGAGGAGCCTCCATGCTTCAGGAAGGAGACAGAGGTATCATTCAACTGTCTCTTGGAGTTGCATCCCACATTTGTTAAAGTACTAATTCCTTTTAGTTTTGGTTTAGACATAGATATGAGGTTGTCGTTTCTAAACCAAAGTGAAAACCTTTGTAAACTAGCATGTAGAAAATGAGCCACTTCTGTGCTGCTGTCAACTGTACAACTTTATCTTTTATTTGTTAGGAAAAGTTTTGGAGGAATTTGGTTTATTCTCTTACTTTTGATGTGTAGGACTCAGCAAGGCTCCTCTAAACCTCTAAGCATGCTAATAAAATATATGCAGTATGCAGAGGCAGCCATTAGTAGTCAAGGCTGTTTGGTCAGATGAATCCTGGGAGAATTTTGTTACCTTAAACTGAAGGGACAGTCTTACTGAGGTCACATACTTGAGTGCTGTGACAGCTTTGCCAAGGATGCTTTGCTTCTCTCTGACATGTTTTTTAGCTTGATTTTTATATCTATTATTTCTCTCCATTTAATATTTGTCTACAAATGATGAGATTTTGAGACACATGGGAAGATTCTCAGGTGTTCTGTCACATGTTTAACTTGACACTAAGTGTATAAAGAAACGGAAGTGCCAGACACCTTACAGCCTTTGCCTACATTCTCTACAAGGAGTTATGAAGCCCTTTAGGCTCAGCTGGACTTGACATGGTTGTCAGAAGGAAGCTGGGTACAGTAGCTCAAGCCTGAATCCCAGCACTTACCAGACAGAAGGAGGATTGCCGTGAGCTTGGAACCAGCCTAGTAGACTGCATAGTGCGTTCCAGCTCAAGCTAGGCCGCAGAGGGAGACTCTGTATAAAGAACAAAGATCCTGAATGAGCTGTCTTGTGTCACAGCTAATGAGAAGCATGTAGGTAGTGTGGCATCGTATCTCTACTTGGACAGGTGGCACGTGTGTGACAGCATGGGCATCCCATGCTCTGGTTTACAGTAGACCAGCCTGGGTCATTCCACAGACCATAGTAGGGCAGCCTGGGTCATTCCACAGACCATAGTAGGCCAGCCTGGGTGGTCCCACAGACCATATAGTAGGCCAGCCTCCTCGGAGCCCTGGGCTCTGTCTACCCTGCTGTTTTTGTTTTGATCTCTTGCTGCACTCCTTTCCTTTTGGGTTGTCTGAAGCTGCAAGTGCTGCCTTCTCCAGTGGGGTTGATTAGTTGTTATGACCTGTGGCTTCAGAGATAGTACTAGTAAAGCCTGCAACTGGAAAAATTGCTTCAGTCAGATGCCGTCAGTGAAATGGGTTCCAATGGGCTATTTCTAGACTGTCTTGGAAAAGAAGGCAAGATCGGTTACCTAATCTTAGGTAGAATGTCATGTTCTATTGGACTGCACAGTTTCTTTGTTTTCTTATTTCTTACCAACCTGTCAATCAAAGGATGGCTCTGCACCATCCGTGTGGCTAAGGGTGCCCTTGCTCTGCCTGGATTAATTTATTAGAAGGGACTCATGAGTTTTAGTAGGCCCGGCAGTGGCAAAGTATGAGAGAGTGTGTATTGCAAACCATAGCTGAATCATCCCCAATCGTTACATAGATATCGCTGCTGACTGTACAGCTCCTCATTCACGTATGCATTCATTCAATAGCTGTGGGTTTGAATCCCCATCACATCTGCCTCTGAAACACAGGGTGTCTAGCTGAAGTGCTGCGTGCAGCAGAATGCTTGCGTTGTGGTTCTGACACCATCCAGACACCCAGCACTTGTATTGGGATATTTCTAGCTGCAAATAAACTTTAAAAAGTGGATATTTCAGGGTTACTAAGCATAATCACAAGGTCTTACTCTCTTCAGGAGGAATAATGGAAGACATACCATTGTATTGAATTTTATGCAGAAAACAAACCTGTTTACTGAAGAATAACACTCAAATATGTTCATTTATTTTTTATTTTGAGACATAGAAAGTCTCAGTATTCAGTCCTGACTTGCCCGCCATTCACTGTGTAGACCTGGCTGCCTTCAAACTCTCAGAGATCTGCCTCACAAATGCCTCCTTGCCTTTATGCTTGACCATGCTTTAGATGGACTCGTTTATAAAAAGAAAAAAAAAAAAAAAGCAAAAACAGAACCAAACAAGCCAGCAAACCATTTCTTCTTGATGTCACCTGTAGACCTCGTGTTGAGCATGCCACCAGGGTATAAAAGGAAAAGTTTGCAGTTTATTGCTATTTTTGAACAAACCTAAAGAAGAAAATTGTAGATTGAATTTCTTTCTTCTCGTTCAGGAAAAGCATAAACAAGAATTGGAAGACATGAGGAAGGCCGGGCACGAGGCGCTGAGCATTATAGTGGATGAGTACAAGGTAGGCTCAGGAGGTTTTACTAACTATGCAAACACCAGGGAGAGGGAACGCTTGACTCTTGGGCATGTGGAACCACGCACGCGTCCCAGGCCTTGCATGTATCTTTGTGTGTCTGTCAGCCCTCTTCACTGCCACAGACAGTGTGGTTCAGCACACCCTCGGGGAGGCAGTTCCATTGTGACTCAGGGTTTTAGTCTGTGGAGTACTTGCTTTGGACAGAGATAAAGCTGAATATCAGATGGAGTGTGTGCAGCTGAGATGTCCACCTTAGGGTAGCTCCGGAGCCGAGTTCATGTCCCCAGGGACCTGCTTCTTCCAACTGTGTCCTGCCTCTAAGTTGGTACTGCTCCCCCAAATACCAAGAGGTTAGAGCCACCATAATCAGTCATTTTTCAGAAGTCATGTGACACCAAGATTTTACCATACAAGCCTTTGTAAGATTTTAAGATCCAAAACCACACACTGTATTTTAGTGAATAATCCACTGAGAGGAGGAAGTGGCCATTGATTACAGAGTTATGCTAACTATTGTTTTTGAGACACTCTGAAAATACTTGAGACTATCAGCAGGTGAAGTCTAATGTAAAGTAATATATAATTAATTACCATATTTATCTTTATCTATGATGTGCTGTTTACCTTTTCTATAGGAAAAACTTGAGGTATTGAATTTTAAAAAATTATTTAATCTCCCTCATTTTTAAAATTAGCTAAATAGATTTGTATATATTTAAGTAGTAACAGATTATAGTAATGCCACAGCAGTGGTACATAGTAAATTAGTATGGCATTGGCTAAAAGGTAGTCACAGATCTCCTAAACCTGGATTTAGAGACTTTTGTGAGCCATCACATGGAAGCTGGGAATTGAACCCAGGTCCTCTGAAGAGCAACCAGTGCTCTTAACTACAGAGCCATCTCTCCAGGCCCACGGTATTCCTTTTTCAACAAACACGTTGGTGTCATTCTTAACACCGGTAGTGAGATTTAAATCATATTCATTTCTGTAATATTCTTTGCAAGTGGCATTTTTGAACGCCTGGCTGAGAGGTACTCACTGTATCTGCTTGTCTGCTGTTTCCATGGTTTAACATTCAAAGAGGATTTAAAAGTTCCAGTGTGCTCCATTGTGATTTACTGAAAAGACTTGGGAATTAATCAAATGTCCTACAGAGTGATATTAAACTGGTCATATCCTAGATGATGCGTTTCTATTCAGACAGCCTAAACTCATTCCACCCATGCCACAAGAACCAGTTTTCTGCTGGCCATGTGAGGGTTGGGGCCACCTGTCCAGCACCCATGTCACTGCTGGCCCAAGCCAGTAAGGAACAGAGCTAGCTCATTGCAGCCCTCAGACATCAACATGGCTTTAAGGCTTCAGTATGGGCCACGTACATCAACACAGAACCCTGGCTGCAGTCGGACCACATACCCAGACATGGCCACATACCCAGACGTCAGCTCGTCCTGGAGGTCACCACGGCCTGTGGTGGTAGTACAGGCCTGTAATATTAGGCTGTTCATTACACTTCTGCCTCTCTTCATAGGACACAAACTACTACTCTCCCATCTCTCCACCACATATTTTCTTGCTTCTGCCAAGCCTGCCACTGAGGGCTGGGCCCTGAGGAACGTTTTATAGTGGCCAAAATTTGTGGCTAAATGCTCCTGCTGGTAGACCAGAAGGCCCAAGAGCAGAGGTCTTAACAGTTTGACATGTGTACATTAGAGCTTGACCCTGCTGTTGATTCCTGTGATCTTGGGGCAGCTTCTCTGATTATCTCATTTAGTGTTTTCATCAGTCTGTACAGAGTAATGATGCATCCAGGTCACAGGCTACCATATGCATACTGAAGGAGCCTATCACATAGGTAAGAAGCCTCAGGAGATGGTGGCTCGTGTGTTGAGATGTCAGTTTTCTAGCATAGCACATGGTTGTCCCTTCATTATTTTATGACTGGTGACTGTCCTTTACTTTTTAAAATAGTATAATACAGACTTTTATTGTGAACTTCTCAGAAGCACTCACTTGAGAGGAGGTGGTACCCATCCTAGTCTTTTATGCTTCTGGGCTCCTGTTTGAAGGCCAACTTTCTTTTATTCACAGAAACTCAGTAGTTAACCAGGGAATGATGAGAAAGACACAGGAAGGTCTGTTATAGAACAGAAGGAAACCAAATAAAAATACTAATGCGCTTCATATTCATACTCTTGTAGTAGCTACTGGGTATTGTATATTTTCCTTTTAGGTCCTGATTTTGAAAGTCCTTTTTTCTTAGGATCTAGTACAGTGAAGTAAATGCAGATTCTGCAAGGCCTTTCCTAGACGCTGGTGCCTGAGATTGCTAAGCACTGTCAACTGAAAAGCTTTTCTTTACTTGCTTATTTGATGATCTTGGAATCCTTTTATCTGATCCAATCATCACCTCAGGGTCACCAGTTGAGAAGCACAGATTCCCCGCTGGTACATAAGTAGCCATATCACTATTGTGGTTTTGTTTTAAGGTAATCTGAGCGATGGTGTGGGGATCAGAACACTGTGACTTCTGGTTCTCAGATCTTACAGGACGTGATGAATCCCTTGTGTTGCTTGTCAGAGACACACATGGCATGGTAGGTATATTCCCAGCACTCTAAGACCAGTGGGTGCAGCTAGGGCCTGTGTCTTTATTTAAAGTTCTGGATCTTATTCTGCTTCCTGAAAGGACTTGTGAGCCTTAGCCATTCTGCTCCACTTTCTCATCTGTAGGTGTGTTTGGCTTCAGCTGTGGTCCTCTCTCGTGTTTTGATCCCATTACCGACTAAGTTGTATGGATATGCATCCATCTCCTCATATGAACATGTGTGCACATAAGTGTGTGATTTCTCACTGAAATTCTGTATAAGAAAGAAGAGATAAACTCAGAAAGGAAGTAAGTGCAGGGAGGACTTTCCTTTGCTCTTGAGAGTTCAGGGGACAAATAAGAAAAACTTGAGTTTTAATTGTCGCTAAGCAAGCAGGATTTGACTTATAACAAACACCAGCTTTTTGTTTCTGGAGTGGGATAAGTGATCACAGTCAGAGATCTCTTTACAGGCGACGGGGGTCAGTATAGCGGGGATACCAAGGAAAGTCACGCATGGAAAGGTATGCCATATTTACTGACAGAGATGGGACTGTGTGGTGTCTTAACATCTCTAAGGAGAGAGCCCCCTCTCGAACAGAGGCACTTTCTTCCCGTTGCTCTTTGCAAAGTTTCTCCTCGTGCCTCAGTCCAGCTAGTATAGTGCCCATCAACACTTGAGGTAAAGTAATTTTCACCACTAACCCCACTTCAAAAATGGTTTTTCTTTTTGCCCGAAATAACTTTGGGGAAAATTTTTCCAAGGGAAGTACTTAGTTGACTCAGTATGTTGAAATCCAGCTTCTAGCTTGCTCTAACAGTGAGGGGGAGTTCTCAAGAAGCTTAAGAGAAACATGTTGCTTTTATTTTATCTCACTTGGAGCCCAGTTCATTAAAAATTCCAGCTTGACATTAGTAAGATCTGAACATATTTTTTTGCTTAAAATTTTTGTTTTGCTACTGTATAGAGGATATTCTTTTTCAGTGGCAGCTCCACCCTTTCCCACTGTCTTATTTTTTTTGTTTTTTTAACTTAAACCTAGCATAGTGTTTACTTAAAGATAAATCATTAATAAAAAGGCTTTTTTTCTGCTTTTACATATGGACTTAGAATTTTACTCTGTAGTGGCATTTATAAATTGTTTTCTTGTCTAGCATGCCTTGTTTAATCTTGGAATTAAATTGCACTCTTTTGTATTGTTTAAATTAAAAGATTTAGGGGACAGTGAGAACTCAGTGGTTTTATCTACTCCAACAAATTTAGTATTTTTTAATTAAAAAGTTTAGGCATTTTGCAGATTACACTGGACAGAACTGTTAGAACCTTGAGTAGTTCCTGCTTCGTGAGTTACAGTACTGAGTAGAGTTTGATTTTGTTCTTCACAGGTGGTGCCTAACAAGTTATAACTGTGAAGGTGTGTTGTGAGTTTTGGCACAATGTTGGTAGCTGTACAATTTTTTGTATTATTTTTGTTCTTTTTTATGAAATGAGAATTACCTGCTTGGCCACACAACAAGAGAGAATTTTCATGTTTCCAGTAGTGGTTACCTTTCCTTTCCCTAGCTCATTGTTGACATACTGGCCAAGCAGCACATATTTAAGAAACTCATTTTTTTTTGGCTGGGTGTGAGAGCACTCTGGAGGCTGAGGAAGGAGTTGTAGGACAAACTGAATTGCCTAGTGAATTAACATTCTACTTGAACTACTTATTAAAATCCATTATCAGAATAAATGTATAAACCAGTCAGCCAACTAACTGACCTACGGATCAACCAAACAACCAACCAGTCAACCAGCCAGCCAGCCAGCCAGTCAACCAACTAATCAACCAAACAATCAACTGATCAACCCACCAGCCAGCCAACCAGCCTGCCAGTCAGTCAACTAACTAGCAACCAACCAACCAACAAACCAACCAGCCAGCCAGCCAGCCAGCCAGCCAGTTAATCAACAAACCAAATAAGTAGCCAAACAGCCAAACGACCGGCCAGTTTACCCTTACTTTGTGGTATTTATACACTTAGAGGTGTCTTCCCCACAAACACATATGACCACTTTGTCCCTGTAGTCTGTTTCTGAGCGCACCTCCACGTGCCTTCTCTAATTCCCTGCATAATCCAGAAACCAAGGTCTCTCATTATTGAGTGCATGAATGCACTTGTAAACCCTGGACTGTTTAATGAGAAAATAATGCATAGGCAGATTCTTTTCTTATGATGAGAGCATTCTGATGCTCCTCCAATCCCTTTATTCTTTATTATTCAGGTACTGAGCCAGGGGCACTGAAATGTAAGGACTGGAGTTTCTGCTACTTACAATGGAAAAGTGGTGTGAGGTTGCTGCATGCAGTTTTTCTGGAATAATCTTAACTCAGTCTTGGTGTCTCAGTTTCCT